AAAGAGACAGTATAAATGCATCATCTTCATGTCCTTTCTCTGTGAATATTTGGTCACAACTGCTTATTTTGTGGATATATTTTTTTCCTCTTGGAAAAGGGTAAATACATTGACAGGCACAGCTGAGATCCTGCCTTACCAGACAGTCGATGGCAAAGCTATAAGTTAAATCTGAGTTGCAGAGTTATTTACTGTTAGTGATGGTACATGAATCAGAAATAAGGCAACTTGATTTCAGTCCCAGAGGAAATATAGGCAGATGTGCTGTGGGACAACTTAACTCTCTGTTACCACAGAAGTGTCCACAGTGATTTGGTCCATAGGGAATGTTGGTGAGCAACAGCACGGAGGGCTGCCTGGTGGCACATTGGTTGTAACTGGAACCAGAAGATGCTCTTTCTAATAGAATTTTGGAACAGGGAGCAGACAGAAAGAAGTATTTAAATCTCTTTTCTAATGTTGTATATCTGAAATTTTCCAAACTCAGCCTGTGCCATAGCCACATTAAGAGCTTAAAACTCTGCAACACCTTCCAGACCTTAGGGACTACCTGGTTTCTTAAATCCCTGCTTGGATGACAGTGTTACAATCAATGCACACAGGGCGTAGAAAAATCCTGTGGACTGGAAACCCCTCTTATTCTGTAAGAAATGTTTGTGGTGTTCAAGACAATGGATGGGTGTTTGTATTGAACAGATCTCCCTTGTTTGGAACAGAAGAAACAGCTCAGTTGCAGAGAATTCTTCCTCCTCGGCCCTCCTCCTCCTCCACCCCTGTTCCCACCACCGTACTTCAGGCACGGCTGGAGCACTGTAAGTGTGGCCCAGGAGCCTCTCTCTACTTTTTACATGAGTTTTTGTGTTTGGTAAAGACTGAAATATCCTTTTGACCACTGCTTGATTTATCCCATGCAAATATTGTGATTATTGCTAGTCGTATGTAATTATTACAAAGATCTCTGACAAGAGCTAACCTAAGAAAAAATACAGTTTAAAACCCTCTGTTTTCTTCAGAGAGATCAGGATTGAGCTCAGGGCTCAATCTCCCCAAGCCAAAATTTAGTTGCCTTCCCTTTCCTCAGCCCCTCCTCTCTCTGTGTCATGGCTGACATAGAAAAGAGACCCAGGGCCAAGATCTCTATAGAAGATGTGACATCCTTCAGTGAGGAGGACACTGGGACCAGAGCCCCTGAGATTCCTCCAAGCGGCCCAGAGAGTAATCTGAGAATAAAATCACCCTTCACACCATCTCCCCCACAAAAACATCACGTAACTAAGTAGTTACTAGAAGGATGGGAGCCATGTGAATTCCCTATGAGCAGTTTGTGCTTTGAGGTATCTAGTTGGAGCTTTTCTGGAAATTTTTTTTCACTTGGAAGCTAAAGATGAGTTGGGTTAACTCCATGTTTACAGCTCAGTCTCTACCTGCATTTCCAGGGGAGATTCAGGACATAAATAAGGCAGTTCACTCATGCAAGCCTAATTTGAAGTCAAAAGGTTAGACATTAATTGGTCTTTAAAGACATCAGCTCTGGTTTGCAGTGAATGAAAACCTACAGGTTAATAACTTGTGGAGCGAAGTTCATGCTGCCTGTGTCCCTGCTGAGCATAGTCTCTATTCTTAGAGCAAAGATGCTATTTTTGGAGAGGAGCTGCCTCTTGTAAAGTGGGATGGAGAGAGCAGGGTCAAGTCTAAGAATAGGCCAGGGTCCCATGCTGGCTCGGAGGGGTGTGTGACAGCCTTGGTGCCTCTGGAAGAGGAGGAGGAGGAAGTGTGAGGCAGGACACTACACTGAAGTGCCAATGTTCAAGCATCTGTGAAGATAACCTTGTGACAAACCTCAGGCTTCTCCCTAAGGGAGCAAACGAACTCTCTGGAAGCTGTCGAGTTTGGTGGCTGTTTGTTTATGCATTTTTCTGACTGGCTATATATGGCTGCATGTTCACTCATGTATTTTATGTTATGTAGAAGTTGCTTGCCCTGGATATGAAAGAGTTGTGTCAAGAGGCTTCCTCCCTGCCTGAATCACATTGCCCCTCAGGGCCTCCTGGCCCCCAGGTGAGTGATACATCTGTGATTAAACCATACTGTTCTCTCACTTGCTCCAAGGTCCTTGCAAAGCTGTAAAACATCTTCCACCAATGCTTTTTACCACTTAGAAAGCATACCAAGCTCTGACTTAATTTAATTTTATATGAATGTGTGTAAATCATGTAGGCTTTTTACCCTATGTTCTCACCCCTGCCTTTCATACTCCAGTAGGTTTCAAGTTCACCCTTCATTTTTCTGGAGTACCAGAGTTCCTGGAGGTGCTATCACTTCCTTCAGAGACTCCTCTGTAATTTCTTCTTTGCTCTAGACTCTGTTGTCCTTCATGTGAGGGAATGAGCCCGTGGAGTGGGTGCACAAGAGGTGCAATAAACTTAAATGCTAGTGGAGTACATCCCTGAAAAGGCAAATATCTACAGTACAGATCAGAGACAAGGAAGGGCTTCAGAAGGGCAATGGGATTGGATCATGTAGCTTGACATGCAGTGTTTCTGCCTCTGACTTGCTGGGCAGTCTTGGGTCAGTCCCTTTGAGCTCCAGATCATTTTTCTACAGTTTGTACATTCAGAAATCTTCTAAGAGAGGTCAGAAATCTTCTGAAGAAATGGTCCACAGCTAGGACGAAGGTTTTTGCAAACATCTCTAGTGTGAAGAAGATCAAGCATCTGCCATTCCATTCCAGTTAATTCTCTCCAAAGAAAAATACAACTTTGCAGGGAGAGGTACTTCCAGTTTCTCCCACGGCAGAGGTGGTCCCTGTCTATGTGGTGTGCCTGGTGATTTGGGATAGTGATCTTCCTTAAGGCCCCTGGGTGCCAGTTTTATTACAGTACAGCTAACAGGTGGCACAGCATGGGGCCTTTGCTGCAGTAAAGCTGTGACTGAGGGAGGCTTTGGCAGCCTAAGAAGTTGACAAGCACCCAAACATTGTTTAAAAAACAAAGGACAGTGCATCATAATAAAGGTTCAGTTGTGTAGCAAAAAGCTTAGCTTTAATTATTTAGAAGTCAATACTTCAGAAGGTATTTGGAAATAGTCTAGAAGATGTAAGGTGAAAGCCACAAAGTCTTGTTTTAGGAACCTTGACTTTTCTGCTCTGCTACTTTGTCTTTGCTGAGATGCAGGGTGAGACAGACTCATTTAGCACGTGAATGATGAGATGTGGAGAGAAGTGATGGGAAATGTTTGTCCTGTCCTGTACTGAGAAAAGTCTTCTCTGCATTATGAGACAGCCCTGCAGTGTGGTTGGCCATGATCCAGAGTTGCAGTACATGTGAAAAAAGCAGTTGTTATTTCAGTCTTTGCTAGACTGTTTTTTTTTAAAAATCCTCTTGATACTCTCCCTGAGTTAAACTGGAAGAACACTGACATTAATTCTATTGTTCTGCAAGGCCCATTACTATAAATAATATTAATCTTGCAACCAAATGATCTATGATCCCTCCAAGAATATTTTTAAATAGAGTAGGCTGGCAGATTTTATCACAGTGGCAGACAGCAGGCTGGGTATAACATGGCTTTGGAATTTTTAATTATAAATTGCAGGACTGGGACTTACAATGGGACAATGTTAGAGCCAGTAGTCCTCTGGGCAATACTTTTATGACAATGGTTTCCTGGGAAGAAATGGTACCACTGGAAAAAACAAAAATCCAAGAAGTATTTCTGAATTATTTTCTGCTGTAACTTGCATGACTTTCAAAGGAGTTATAAAAGCTCATACTATTGTCTCAGAGCTAAATTTTAACACTTTATAAGAAGGACAATTAGATTTGCAATGATATAGCTCAGAATAAAATTCCTCCCATGTGTAACCTAAAGCAAAAGGAAAGAAACATAGTAAAATTAAGTTCTGACTCCAGTAGGCTGCATTCTGATTTACACTATTGAAATCAGTCTAAAATAACTCTACTGACTAAAATAGTTGTAGTAATTTGCATTTGAGGGTACATTTTGCTCCTATTAATGTAAATTTGCATGACATTTTCAACAGTATAAGATAGCCAGGATACAAACCTGGAGTGAGTGATTTGTATGGAGAATCTAATGCTGCTCTGATGCAGGCTCATGGGATATTTTTTCCTTCATTCATTCAAAAATAAAAGGTGATCTGTGAACTGATGCATTCTAGAAGCAAACCTGTTTGTCTCATTTTTTTTTTCTAAGATGGGATTCGAGGTCTACCTGGATTAGGAAGTCTCCTGAAATGACAATCAGCATTATTTGAGAGAGAGAGGAGTATCCTCAGGATTCAGGAGTGGTAGCAATCCTCCATATCCATGCCTCACTGCAGAGCCCATCCTGCATGTTTTATGCCACCTCTGTTACCACCCCCTTGGCAGACCTCCTTTGCCAGCTGACACAGTGTCTCCACGTCCTCATTGCAATCCTAAAGAATTAGCAATAACTTATCATCTTTCCTTCACCCTAGGCCTTTTTTCTTGCTAGTTTTCTTCATCTAGAAGATGACCCAGCACTTCTCATGTCAGTCCAGGAATCCAGCCTGCCATTCAGCAGTGGCACAGATCTGGCATTTGGAAGCCATGTTCAAACACCACATCCAACATCCCAACCTGAGGGGTTCACCTGTTCCCAAGAGACACCTAGAGGGCCGTGGGTTGAGGGAAGTTGACCATCAGTGCCTTCCCTACTAATGCATTCACTTTTTTCCCTAGGGTCCACGAGGAATTCCTGGTGTAATGGGACCAAAAGGGGAGAAAGTAAGTGTCTGTATTAAGGCATTTGGTGTGTTTTTTGAGGGAGCAAGGGAGGAGATGGAGCAGCTTCATTTTTTATTTTGTCTCTTTAGTCAATGGTGGGCCTTTTGGAAGTGGGGATTTGCTTTAATTTTAATGTAAAGGTGTTAATTGGCTTGAAGCTGCAATTTAAATCTTAATCTTGCCTGAAACCTTTCTTATGGATTCTCATGACAGCTACCTTTGACTACAGGATGTGTTAAGAAAGCAGCTCAGGTGCACAAGTTGGTGGTTTTAACTGATCCAACAGCCTTTGACCACTTTGTCTCTCTGGGAGGACATGAAAAACAGAGCTCTCCTGTGCTTTGTCAAGTGTATGGGCCAGCTCAGATATTAGAAGTGTTCTATATGTTAAGTTATGGCTTAAGCTCTGCAAAGCATTTGCTGCATGATGGTGCGTCGGGAGCCTTATGCCTGAAGCTGGACATGTCATGACATGCTTTGCTATACAAGGGAGGGTGACTGCAGATTTAGGGCTCAAATACAGGAAAGACCAAGGAGCTCCACTAAAGCAATCTTTCTCATTTTACCTCTGGATGCAAAGTCTTCAACATAAAGATATTCCCGGTTTATTTTTCTTTATAAATGCATTAACTAATTAGCCACTGTGCTTTGTGTGGTGCCTACTGGACTAATATTTTCCTTTCTTTGTCAGGGGGAGATTGGCAGGCCTGGAAGAAAGGTATGAACACAGGTGCTATCTCAGACACCCATCTAATACTTGACAAGTAGCAGCTGTCAGAGTGGGGTGCAGACAATAGTAAAATAAAAATTAGATAGTGTTGAAGTTTAACAGTTTTGTGCTGCTTCCCCCAGTACCTAGGGTGGGTGGTAGGGAACTCTGGGCTTAGGGGTGGAAAGCTGGGTCCTTTGGCTTGGAAAGCTGTCCCAGATAGTTTGAATTCAACAAATTCCCTCAGTAAGAGCATACAGCTCTGGCCAGACTAATAAAAGAGTGGGAAATTTCCTGAACTATATCTCTGCAGGCAGGGGAAGCAGGGTATGGGAGCTGTCATAAAAGGTGTGTTTTAAAAAGCCCAAACCAAAATGAAACATTTTGCTCTTCTAAAGTCTAAACAAGGCTCAGCCAAATACTCTCAAAGGAGGAATAACCATTAATGATTGCACTTACAGAGTTTTGGCACCAATGCAATATGCTGACTACAATCCTGTGCCTGGTGACATATGAGCCATGATATGTCAAAGATATGTGTTCCTGCATGTGATGAAACAGAATATGTTATCTCAGTCACTAAGTACCTCCATTTAATGTAATTAACTTTAAAAGAAGACAGAAATGCAGGATGAAATCAGAGATAGTCAGGGAGTACTCACTAACCAGGAAAAGAAGTACCCTTCTAATAATATACCAAGAATTTTAACACCCTTCTAATAATGTGCAAGGGATTTTAACAGCAGGTACCAATTAGTAATTCAAATAAATTTGAATCACATAAACAAAGTATCTTTTTCTTTAATCTAAATTGCAAATGCCCTACAGTAAATAAAATAAAATAAATTGCTTCTATAAATTCAGGTGTTCAGAACAATAATGTCTCAGTGACAGTCACCTGCCAACCTACAAGGGAGTGCAAACCTTAAACACGGTGCAACAGCAGCTACTCTTCTGACAAAAAACAGTAGGTGCCAAAAGAGCAGTTGTTCAGTTGGAAATAAAACAGTGTAACTCCTGCTAAAAGCTGTGTGGCTTGAAGGGGGTCACTCTCAGCTCCAAATGTTGTGATGATGTTCCTAAGAGCATACTGTCAAGTGACTTAAGTGACTTTAAAGCCATGGAATTGCACTAATCTGCAGCATTTTAGGAAATACTAAAGGAGTGATTTGCAAGCAGTAATTAAAATATATAAATAACAGTGTATGTAGTTACAGATAATCATATAGTAGCTAATAAAGAGCACTTATCACTAGTAATATGAGAGTGTTCAGAATAAGAATAATAGTAAATAGAAATAAGAATATCTTAGTTAAAGATTTGATCCAGTTCTTAATGTAAATTGGATTTGTACTGATATAATTACATGCAGATCTTTTTTATTTACACCGTAATATTAAATGAAAAGAGGATTCAAGTGATTTTTACTGGGTTTTTAGGATTATTATTTTGACTGCATGTAGATTTACTCTGTAGCTGATCTACTTGTTTGAACAATGTAACCTGGTATTTCTGTGAGCCCACACTGCCTCCAGCAGCATCAACACAAACTCTGTTGTGAATATAATACCATATTTTTGGTATTAAAAACAAGGTAAAGTAGCATTAGCAATTCTTCTCCTGGAAGAGAGAATCTATCTCCTGTCTGCAGGGGAGTCCTGAGTGTGCAGGAATGATGTTACATGACTCTGTAATCAATGTTTTCCGTTCAAGGGCAGACCAGGTTCCCCAGGCGTCCCTGGGATGCCAGGACCAATAGGATGGCCTGGACCTGAAGGACTGAAGGTAAGACTGAAATTCCTTTGGGATCACCAATTCAATATCCCCATCTGAACACAATAGTTGCCTCAGGAAATCCCTAAACCACTCTCTGCTGGAGGCTGGGAAGCAGCAGCAGCACAAGGACACTCTGTCTTTGTCCCATTTTTTAACACTTTCTGCAAAGACCTGCCCAGTCTAGGGCTGGGTTGCTGCATCTTCAGTCCAGCCCTTGTGGCACCTCTTACATTGGTTAAAACACATGAAAAGGAAATGGAAAATAAATCTAATGAAGACTCATGGATAGCCACTGGTGTCTCACAATGACATGAACCAGTGTTTCAGAACTGATTGTCATCTGTGAGACTGCCCTTTATGATTTCTTTGCCTGAATATGTACTTCTTTGCAGTGTAACCTTATACCCACATGATCACAGGGAAAAATACCAGCTTGGTGTCAGGGGTCAAGGGTTACAAACCATGTGGATTGTTGATCAGATCTTTAAAGTTCACTGCCATAAAATCATTCATTCGTTCCTATGGTTTTTCATGGCCAACTGCAGAAGAAATGGCAGGACATGCTTTCCTACTGCAGAGCAGTCGCTCCACCTACATTTATTGTAAAAAAGCTGAAGGACAGTCCTTTATTGAGTATTACTTCATGCAGAAGGTATAGAGCTCTTCACAGAAGACGCAGTTTATGAGAGTTTCTATTGGGATTTATGAGAGAACATACTTTTCTTCAATCCACCATTCATCAGGCAATAGGACTGCACACAATGTTTAGCTCAAAGCTGCGTTTTCCAGTTAATCTTTGACTCTTCATTTGCTCCATGAAGGTTGGTGCCTCCATCTCAGAGAATGTGATGCAGCAGCTCTTGCTACTACAAGAATAATAGTACATGACTTCTGAATGCAAGCCTGTGAAGCAGACCTCCAAGTTCCTCACAGCTATGTCAGATGAGGAACAACATATTGTAATATATGGGAATGCAAACAAGCAACAAAAGGAAATGTACAAAAAAGGACCCAAGGTTGAAATTGAACTGTGAGATGAGAAATTATATGCCTCAAAATGCAGTGTGCTGATGTCTCACAGTGGGGCCAATCACCTCTGTCCCTCATAGTCTGATTATGGAGAGCACATCAGTCTGAAAAACCATTCACTTGGCCTTTTCCTTATATAAGCACTACTTTTATTTATGAAGGTTTCCTAGTTTTTATTTTATCTCCTCTTTGTCTATTGTTATAGTTTTTAATCACACTCCTAGAAGCACCCCTCACATTCAATAATAATACTATTTCCCATACTTGACTGCAAGTCTTACTTGTTTGACTCCAGTTCTTCTGCTTTTAATGTCCCCTCTGATACCTGTCTTTTTTGCTCTTTAGATGGGTTCACACTCTCATTTCTTCTGGTCTCTATAAACTTGGGTTTCCTGCCTGCAGGACCCTGAAGGGTCCAGTTGAATAGAGGCCAGCAGATCTCTGTGCTCACTTCCATCAGTTGTTGCTCCTACCTTTCTCTTTTCCTCATCTCTGATCTTCCCAGACTCTTGATACTCATTCTCATTATAGTAATTTGCTTCATCCACTTCTTGCTGTAAGTCTTCAGTAAGCTGGGGTTGTTTACTCATTCTCATCTCTGTGCCCTCTGTTTCTTCCTATGGGTCTCCTTGTCTTCTCTGACACAGCCTTGATCCAGTCCTTATTTCCTCTACCTTGTTTTTCCAAGTTTCTTTTGAACTTCTGCTTGGGCAGTAGCCAATGTGAAAATCCTCTCCACTGCTGGGACAATGAAAGCCAAAAGAGAAGAAGAGCCAACTGTGTCCTCATTGTAGGGCTATTGTGTGTCTGTGGCGACTATTCCATATTTTACCCCAGGTATAATTAGCTGACAGCAGTCAGAGAAGTTGTTGTAAAGCCTTTTCATTATGTACTGGCTCCAAAGAGCATGATGTCTCAGAGCTATGATAAAAGTAATGGCAACTCCTCCCCAAGCCCACCATAATATCCTTCATGTCTGCAACGCAGGGGAAGTGACACTGGGTGGGGACAATGCACCTTCATGCAGTAAAAGGTTGCTTTGCTGTGCCCAATTTGCTTGCATATCCTTTAATAGCTTCTGACAAAACTGAAGCACAAGTTACACACCCAAGAAAATGCAAACAGAAGAACAATACAACATATGAGGACTCAGGCAGAATGCAATTCTAATACAGACTACAAAGCTACACCAAGGTCAGGCTTGTCTCAGAGGTCTGACATAAAACCTGATCCACTAAACTATCAGACATTCAAGTATTGCCTCATTGGAAAGCCACAATCAATAACTCTCTTTATTGACTCCTTTAGGGTGAAAAGGGAGAGTTGGGTGTGATGGGATTGCCAGGTACAAGAGGACCAATGGGCTCCAAGGTTTGTTAACAAAACACTGCATTTTTGGACATTTGTTTTGAATGCTTTGCTGACAGCTGCTTCCCTTGTGCATTTGCTGGAAAGTGTTTATCAAGATACCTATTTTTTAATACAGATAAAAAGATACGTTTTCCTTCAAGCAAGGTTGTGTTGTCTGGTTGACCTTGGCTGTTTTTCTGGCTTTTCATAAAAACACTCTGGTGCAAATTGCTGTAATGTAAAAATTTATTTTAAAAGCAAAATTTAGATATAATTGTATCCAACTATAAAACTGGAGTTTTTAAAGTGTATCTGCAGCATTATCTTGTGTCTACAATGTTTTTCACCCACCTCACAAGAAGACCTTTTGGTCCTTTACTAAAACTATTCATCAGTATTGATAGTTGGATAATAAGTACAATTAGTTATAGATTTTTTAGTGTCTGTACATCACTGTCTGTAGCAGAGCCTTTACAAACTTGTTTCAACTTTAAAAGCAATATCAAATCTGCTGGCTTTACCTGGCTTTTTCATGCTGGTTTTTTTTTTTGGCTGAGCTGTCTTGCCTTTAATTTGTATTTCATAATTCTGTTTCCATGCAATTTTAGAAGCCATAAATATTGATTTGGATTTACAAGTTGATGCAATTTATTATTTGTGCTTCATTCTTTTCCTTCACTTTGAAGTCCTGCTGCTTGGGTATTCTTGAAAGCAAGAAGCATTAAAATATCCATCTTTGCCTTTAGGGTTTTCCTGGAACTAGAGGAGAAAAGGTCAGTGTGACAATAGAATAATGTATAATTTAACAATTGGAAACGGTTATGTAAAAAAAAGAAAAAGTAACTGTAGAGATGAGATTGGATTTTGATGGAATGAAGCCTCAAGGCCCCTCTGAGAAATGAAAGCAAGCATCAAGAAAGAGCACAGTCCTGTGGCTTGGGATACTAAAGGAGTTTTAAACCACATCTTCCTATGAACAAGTTACTTCAGTGCACCTCACTACAGTTTCACCATCTGTAGAGTGGGTATAATGACTTCTAATTTTTAGCTGGTTTATTTGGGCTGTATATTCTTGGGCATAGAGACAGTTTTTACTGTAAGACCATACAGTGGGACCTGAACTTGGATGAAGTCAACTGGGGGAAAAAATCAAGTTTGGAAGTATCACGTCCAGGAAAGCATGTATTTAAAGTAATTATCTGGGGAGAATGAGTGCCTTTTCCTACAAACCTTATTCTTAATTCTGTTATACATATCAATTAAAGTAATAGGGAGACATTTTAGGGTATCTACCATACACATCACTCTGTAGATATCAATGTATTCTGTGTGACTCCAACACCTTGTATAGGAGAAATATTTTTTGCTTCCTTGTGAAGTGGTAGCAATTAAGCTGCTATCACTGTGTTATCTCTCTCCAGGGATCCAGAGGTGAAAGGGGTGACAAGGGAGTCAAAGGAGACCAGGTAATGTTCTTTTCCAAATGGCTGTGTGCTTTAGCTGAATGTGCACATGGGGACTAATGTAATTCTGATAGTAAAAGCCAGGAGAGGTAGGAAGCAAGGGAGCCTGGGGGCATCTTCCTGGGAGGCCCAGAGTGGTGAGGACAGGCAGGAGTCCTGCCTGATGGGAGGGTGGTGGGGCAGCATCTGTGTCCTTGTGCTCCCCAGCCCCAGCACACAGGGGGTGATGAGGGAGAGGGGGGTTTCCCTGCAGGTGACCTCAGTCTCTCTGACCTGTGCAGTCCAGAACCATGACAGCTTGGCTGCTGATGTGATAGTGCTGTGAGAAAAAAATTAATAACATAAATAATAATTAAAAAAAAAAAAAAGGAAAACGTGAGATTCTTTAGGTGTTCTTTTAACTAAGGAAGGAAAAGTAAACTGCTTATGATGGAAATGAAGAAATGCTATTCCTGAATGGAGGCTCTGGGAGATGTCCAGGTAGCAGAGCTGCCTGTAGACAAAGCACAAGAAGGAATATTTTTGCTGTAGGAGAGGAAGCAGGCAGCAGAGGATCAGACAGAGTAGAAAGAGGAGTGTAACCATACATGGGGCTTTACAGTAAAATTCTGCTTATAATTCTCCACTTAGTGTGTCACCTGCAGTGCTGAATCACAGTGTGGGTTTTTTGAGTTGTATCAGTACCTGGCACTTTATTTTCTTCCTTTCAAGGAAGGTGCTGCTTTGTCAGAGATCACGCCACATTTTTTTGATGCTTTTTCTCCTTTTACTTTTTAGGGAGAAATAGGTTTCCCTGGAATGCTGGGACAAAAAGTAAGTGGGCATGATGTACTGGTGAATTGTGTTAAGTGCTGGCACAGGGGCAATGAGTGGCTTCAGGGACATCCAGGAAAGTATAAAGCATTGAAGGTTTGGCTTGACTCAATGACCTTGGCCTTGATCAATTCCTTTAAGCTTTTTGTCTTAGGAGAAAAGTCTGAGATGCAGCTCTTAGTTCTTATTTCTCTTTTTTCCCCAGTTTAGCCATAATCTTCCTCCTGCTTAACATGTTCAAATTCCTGATTATAGATTCAGAACTGACTTAATTGTTGTTTGTTATTTTTTTTTTACCTGAAGATAATAAATATTTCCTCCTTGATAGTGTGAATCAAAATGGCACTACTATAACTACTAGTGTTAATTCTGACCAATTTTGATATAATCATTATTCTGTACCTAAACAAAAAAATCACTATTCAGATGTTGTTTTATGGATAGAAATCCTAAAGGAGGATAATTTTATGACATAATCATATCTTTTATCTGAAATTAGGATAAGGAAGTAATGGTTGCTTCTAAGGAGTCTAGAAAACAAGATAATTCACCTTCTTTTCCCTGAGTAATTTTATTACACATGCATTTTAACTGCAAAGCAAGATCCTGCTAAAAGGGTGAGAGAGTTTTGCTAGCCTTGATCTCCCCAAGTCTCCAAGCATGTTTCTGATCTCTCCATTTGGATTCCTCTTTAGGAAAGGATTGTTCAGGAAAATGTGGGTAAATTGTGAGAATTATTTTTCACTTTATGCTTGTTTTAAAGTATTTTATTATAATTTTGACATTTCAGAAACAAATGGTGCCAGCATTATCTAGAGCAATTGTGTAATTATAGCAGTCTCCACCTGCTGTCTTGTGTAAGGCAGGTATAACCAAGGTAATGTGCATTTCTGTACTTACGTCCTGCTTCCTTCCCACCAAGGGAGAGATGGGCCCAAAGGGACAATCTGGAGTACCAGGACACAGAGGACCTATAGGAAGACCTGGAAAACGAGGCAAACAAGTAGGACCATGGTGTTTCCCTTTCCTGGTGTCTGTGTGGTTGTGCCATCCTAAGCAACACAGAGTTATGGTCCCAGCCCCAACTGATGGCTAGAGAGCTGGTGTGAGGTCCAGGTCTCACACAGTGTGGGATGTTATGCTAATGTCATGGTGCCCTACATTCTGTAGATCCCAGCCCTGAAGCTGACTTAGGGAGCAGGGCTGCTCAATTTAAAGGCAGGCTGCGAAGGCAAATAGTATATATCCAAAATCCAACATATTTCAGTCTTCCAAGGGGACATCCTCTGCCCCTCATGAAAACAGGCTACTGGGATGAACAAAGAAAGGTTTGTAGGGAGACACTGGATGTCTGGGGCTCTGAATGAGGGAGGGATTGTTGTGGGTGCTACAAAAACTGCTTCCCGCTCACTTCAGCTTTGGGTACAGAGGAAGTGTCAGCATCTTGCAAGGGACATCCCATTGCCTGTCGTTCAGTTTCCCCCCTGGCCCACCAGTGCAAAGAGCTACATTGCTTCTGCTAGCAAAAACACTGCTTCTGTGCCCTGGCAGTATCTGCCTGCACAGTAAGAATGGTTTGCTGTGGTGGATTCCATAGGTGTGTGGTCTGTGGCAATGGAAAACACTGGTCTTCACGTTTGAACTTCAGTCCTGTATTACACTGCAATGCACTCCTGGATTCTAAGTGTCCATCCAGTGTCTGTTCAGGCTCTGCCCTTGCTGCTGGGCCTGCCTGGGTGTTGCTTTCAGTCCGCACCATCCAATTTGTCTGAGTCTGGCTTTACTCAGGCTCAAGGTTTGGTCAATACAGACCAGCGTGCAGAGCCACAAGGCCTTGGAGGTGTCTGAAAGAGTGCAAAGAATCAACACACTAACACAGCCTCTCTGGTTCTCTGGTTTCCTCTGCTAATACTAAACCAGGATTGATTTGTTAGATGGGGTATTTATATGACAGTTCTCACTATAGCACTGCATGCCAGGGACAGATTGCCCTGAGCAAGGTCAGGAAGACACACAGTGACCTTAGAGAATGCAAGTATGCAAGTTGTTCAGGAATGGGATGGTTCACAAATGATCCTCAAAATCATTATGCTGGTGGAACTACATTTTTCAGACTTTCAGATTAATTATAAAACCCAGGAGTTTCGTGTGAATTCAATACTGACTCCTCCACTACAGCATTTTCCAAGGAGGAAATAGCAATATTGGTTAGTTACCTGTTCAAATCACCAAATGGGCCTCTTGGAATGCACCTTTCCTTTTCTGTTTTTTTAAGCAAAGATACTGGGGGGACAAAGGAGACCAGTTCTTGGTGCCCTGAACTGCCACCTGCAGAGCCTGTTTCTTTTTGGTGACTGACAGGGAAGGGAACTTGTTCTGTTACACCAACATTGTTTTCAATGTAAATCTGCTTAGATACGGCAGCTTGTAGATGTGGTGGTTAATGGGTTTTATTAGTCCTTTATTTGTCAGGTTATAAAAGCTCTTTACTGTTTTTTGGGGGGAGGGGGTTTGGGTGTTGTGGTTTTTTTGGTAAACTGTGCTTGTCTGTCCTGCCAAAGTAATATGCACAGAATGTCTTTTTATAGAACAAGGCAAAGAGAAGGCACAACACCTGCAAATCAGCTTGCAAGCAGCGCACTCCTTACTTCACCTTAGACATTTTGTAACATTACCCAGTGTCTGAATCAACAAGTGGTGACATAAGGCACATCATAATTTAAGGCAACAATCATTGTGACTGAAAGAGCTACAGTCTGGCCCTGATTTAGGATTTTCAGGCCCGAGGTTTTGTACACAACCCCTTTCTGGTGCCCTGAAAGCAATTTCAGCATTAAATTTCTGGAGGAAAACAGGGTTTCCCTCTGTAATTGGTGAACTAGTTGTTCCCTTTCTTCTTTTCTAATCCTTTGGAAAAATCAGAGTGGCATTTTAAGGCTCTGTGGGTCTGGCTGCTGCCTTTAAGTGCTGTAGTTGTCTGGCTGTTTGTTCAGCTGAGTGGATAGTTTCCATCAACATGGGGCCATTTCCTGTCTCTTGATCCAGCTGACAGCCCTAGATAAGAGCAGCTAAATTAGGAAGGTGTCACTTCCACTTCCACTTTGAGATAAGTCTTGATTACCTCACTGACTTCTTCAGCTCTGCCCTGCCTCTGGGGCAGGCTCTTCCTAAGAGGTGGCCAGGAGGTGGGGGTCAGAAGTCACAGCCTCACTGCTCTCAAATTTAGATGTGACACCGAAAGCTTTGTAACTTGAGAATTGACCCTAAGGAGCAAGTTCAGGGTTTCAGTCTCGATAAGCAGGA